GCTCTACCACTTGAGCCACAGCACCACTTCCAGCTTTTTTCTTTTTGCTTATGTGGTGCTGAGGAATCGAACCCAGGGCTTCATGCATGCAAGGCAAGCACTCTACCCCTGAGCCACCTTCCCAGCCAGTTTATTTATTTTAGTTGGTGGTGGGGCTTGAACTCTGGGCCTTGGGCTGTCCCTGAGTTCTTTTTTTCTTTTCTTTTTTGGTCCGGTCCTGGGGCCTGAACTCTGGGCCTGGGCGCTGTCCCTCACTCTTCAGCTCAAGGCTAGGGCGCTACCACTTGAGCCACAGCACCACTTCCAGCTTTTTTCTTTTTGCTTATGTGGTGCTGAGTAATCAAAGTCAGGGCCTCAGGCATGCAAGACAAGCGCTCTACCACTTGAGCCACAGCACCACTTCCGGTTTTCTGGGTTTGTATTGGAGATAAGAGTCTCATGGACTTTCTTGCTGGGACTGGCTTTGAACTACATTTCTTCAATATAGAGACCATTTTCTTCATTCTCTACTCCCTCCATGTTTTCTGCTGTTCTTCACTAACAGACTGAATCTTTGTTCTTTCTCCTGTGGTGACCATATTGGGGGGAGGGTGTGTGTACATGTGCGTGTGTGTGCGCGCCAATACCAGGGCTTAAACTAAGAACCTTGAACTCTCATTCAGCTTTCTTGCTTAGGGCTGCTGTTCTACTGCTTGATCCACCCCTTATGCATTATAACCAAAGTACTAAGTATATAAACTTATAGTACTGCCAGTTTTGTCCCTTCAAGTAAGACTTAAAATTAATGTCTTTGATTACTTACTTGAATTGAGTCGAACCCACTGTAATCCCTAGCAAGCTTCAACAGGGGAACCAGTGCTTTCAGCAAGAGGGTGGTACCACATGTCTTCAAAATGAAACGTCTCTTGGAGACAAACATGCTACTCTCACTGTAATTGAAAAAAAAAACCAGATTATTGCAATATTTATGTAGTACTGAAGAAACTACTAACCTATGATTGGATTATTATAGTTTCTGGTTTGATCATTTATTAGGATCTTGCTATACAATTAAAACCTATTAATTGATCATTTACAATTTTTTGGAGAAAGGCCTCAATGCATAGCTTAAGGTGGTTTGGAATTTGTAATCATCCTGCTTCAGCTTCCTCTGTACTAGAATAACAGACACATGCCATCATGAGTTTGACTACCACTTCTTTTTTTTTTTGGTCGGTCATAGGGCTTGAACTCGGCTTGGGCGCTGTCCCTCAGCTCTTCAGCTCAAGGCGAGTGCTCTACCACTTGAACTACAACGCCACTTCCAGTTTTCTGGTGGTTTATTGGAGATAGGAGTTTCAGTCTTTCCTGCCCAGGCTGGCTTTGAACCCGAGATCTTCAGATCTCAGCCTCCTGAGTAGCTAGGATTACAGGCATGAGCCGCCAGCGCCCGGCTGGCTACCACTTGTTAAATGTCATTTTTTAGGCACAGGTGTAGAAAGTGGTAGAGCATTTGCCCAGTGAGGCCCCTGTTTTGTTTCTTTTTGTTGGCCGTGGAGCCTGAACACTGGGCCTGGGCACTCTTCAGCTCAAGGCTAGCACTCTACCATGTGAGCCACAGCGCCATTTCTGGCCTTTTCTGCTTATGTAGTGCTGAGGAATCAAACTCAGGGCCTCGTGCATCCAAGAACAACTCCACCACTGAGCTACTTTCCCAGCCTGGCTCTGGGGTTTTAAAACCTTAGAATCACCAAAAAACAAAGCCAGCCCAGAGGGGAAAGTCTGTTAACCACCAGAAAACTGGAAGTGGTTCAAGTGGTAGAGTGTTTGCCTTGTGCTTAAGAGCTTAGAGTTCAAGCCCCAGGATGGGGGGGGGAGGGGGAAGAGTTAAAAGTTCTAAGACTTGAATTAGGTATAAAGTATGTTAGGTCCTTCTACGTAGCCTCTTTCCTCTTGTATTGTTCAAAATTCTAGGGATAGTAGCATTGGAGAATACTAGGAAAATCTTTTTTGGATCAGATAGTCTCATAAAAGTAGGCACATACTTTCCCACCTACTCTCACACAATGTCATTAGGTCTTTTAGTAGTTAAGAAATGCTAGTTTTGGCCAGGCATGGGTGGCTCATGCCTGTAACCCTAGCTACTCAGGAGGTTGAGATCTGAGGATCTCGGTTCAAAGGCCAGCCCAGGCAGGAAGCCCGTGAGACTCTTATCTCCAGTTAACCACCAGAAAACTGGAAGTGGTGCTGTGGCTCAAATAATAGAGCGCTCACTCACCTTGAGCTGAAGAGTTAAGGGACAGTGCCCAGGCAGAGTTCAAGCCCCATGACTGACAACAACAAAAAAGAGTCTTATATACTTCTTTCCTGCTGGATCCAAATGTGATCCTCAGATCTCAACCATTCCTGGGGCTAGTTTTTATTCACCACTCCAGAGCATGGCACATAGTAAGTAAACATTCTGATATTTGCCAAACACAAGCTTAATAAAAAGTAGAGACCTTAAGTTGTTTAATCCAAAGCAAGACCTGTCACAATAGACTAAACAAAGCATTCATTGAATAAACTAACTTTACACTTATAAAAACCTCCAAGCTATTAACATTTTATTTTATGTAACAATACTAAGATTGTGAGGAACGATTTGGTATTTTACAGTTATGATTTAGGACAGAACTGGACAGCTAACATTTGCTTTATAGGACTTACCTGAGTACATAAGCTTCCTGCTTGTCAGTTTTTGTCACACTTATGATTGAACATTGCACATCCTTCAAAAGTACATCCCATTCAGATCTATTAACAAAAAAGTAAGATTAATAATAGCCCTTGTCTATATTTACAAAAATGACATTTTTCTATTTTTCTGATCACATTCTTCACACTGTTCCAGCTTCTCCTAGCAATTTAGTTTGTTTCAAAAGCCTGCATTAGCATAACAGAAAATGGATATATTGTTATGACAAAGGAAACTATATTTTGCATTTATAAATTACTAAAAAATAACGTGAACAAACCACTTATATAGAGACAATTCAAAGGTCCACAAGTCAAGGAAAATTATTAAGTCCCATTACTGATTAAAGAAATTAAGGCCTAGGGATGTAATTCATTGGTAGAATGCTCACCTAGCATTTTGTCAAGAAATGGGTGATTCCAAGCATCACAAAACAAAAATTATACCCACATACATTTTTTTAAATAAAACCCATTGAAATGAACACCCTAAGATTCTTGCTGGTTAATTAGAGGTGTGGCTCATGGACCTTTCTGCCTTGGCTGTCTTTGAATTTCAAGGTCTCAGCCTCCCCAGTAGCTAGGATCACAGACTCACCAGTAACCATCTGGTACTATGCTTTTGTTTTCCTAAATTAAAAACAAAAGAATAGGGCTGGGAAGTTGGCTCAGTGGTAGAGCGCTTGCCTTGCATGCCTGAAGCCCTGGGTTCGATTCCTCAGCACCACATAAGCAAAAAGAAAAAACCTGGAAGTAGTGCTGTGACTCAAGTGGTAGAGCGCTAGCCTTGAGCTGAAGAGCTGAAGGACAGTGCCTAGGCCCAGAGTTCAGGCCCCACGACCGGACCCCCCCCAAAAAAAAACACAAAAGAATAATTCTCTTAGGAGAAAAAAACTAAAAAGAAAATGAAAGCATATGCATCAATCTATAGCCTCAGGTACTTGGGAGATTGATGCAAATGGATTTTGACAGTCCTCTGAAGCCATCCTGGAGGTAAGGGGAGGAGTTGCAATTAAGAGACACAAAGTATAATAATCTTCCTTACCTCTCACCTGAAGTTTCCCCCTTAGCAGGGACCATGGAGCACACCACCATGCCCAGTTTATTGACTGATTAGGTCTTAGGTTTTTCTTTCCTCTCCTCCCAACTTCTGCCTCTGACACTAAGCTCCACAAATATTTTTAGCTTAGTTTTGTGCTAGTATTGTGGCTTGAATTCAGGGCCTGGGTACTGTCAGTTAGCTTTTTTTAACTCAAGGCTAAGGTCCTTCCACTTGAGCCACAGTTCTACTTCTCTTGCTTTTTGGGGTGGGTTAATTGGAGCTAAGAGGCCTCAGATCCTAGCCTGAGTAGCTAGGATTACAGGCATGAGCCACCAATGCCCAGCAAATTATCCTTTAATGCAAAAAGTAACACATAAGGAAAACACAAGGATTGAATTCAAGGCCAGCATAGCTGGAGTACCTAAAACCTGCCTCAGAAAATCCCTATAACCCTCCTCCTGAGAAATAAAGGAGAACAGTGTTCTCTTTACAGCTTATTTGACTGGAATCTACAATGCTTTGTTAATATCATTCCAACTGACTTCTCATTGTAGCACACATTCTCTACCCACTGAGACACTAACAAATCCTTCTCCATCACTCACTCCTTTTTTTAGCAGTAAGAAGGCTGAGATCTGAGGATCATGGTTCAAAGACAGCCTGGGCAGGAAAATCCATAAAACTATAATTACCTCCAACTAACCCTTCAAAAAACAAATGGAAATGTGGCTCAAAGGGGTAAAGCACTAGTTTTTTTGTTTCGTTTTTTATTTTGGGTCCGGTCATGGGCCTGAACTCTGAACCTGGGCACTGCCCCTCAGTTCTTCACCTCAAGGCTAGCGCTCTACCACTTGAGCCACATCGCCACTTCCGGCTTTTTTTGTTTAGGGGTGCTTAGGAATCGAACCCAGGGCCTCAAGCATGCAAGGCAAGCGCTTTACCACTGAGCCACCTTCCCAGCCCCTAAAGTACTAGTTTTGAGCAAAAGACCTCTGTTATTGGTGGTGAGTACCACCAATAATAAAAAAAGGTCAGGGTGCTGGAAATGTGGCTTAATGGTAGAATGCTTGCCTAGCATGCATGAAGCCCTGGGTTTGATTCCTCAGTACCACATAAACAAAAAAGGCCGCAAGTGGCACTGTGGCTCAAGTGGTAGAGCACTAGCCTTGAGCAAAAGAAGCCCAGGAACAGTGCCCAGGCCCAGAGTTCAAGCCTCAGGACTACCAAAAAAAGAAAAAAGAAAAGTGTACTGTGCACCATGGCAAGAGCATGGCTGGAGGCCAGCCCAGGCAACTTGATAACATCTCAAAATAATAAGAGATAAAGTACACAGAAGGATATGCACAGGTACATGTAAATCCTATTTTACCTGAGTGGCAGAGTACTTAAAAAAAATGTTGGTTATTTTTAGTAACTATAGATGATAGATGCCTTTCCTATTAATTCTAATTTGGCCCTCATAAGCATTACAAAATTCATTTCCTTTAGACCCCATTTCCCCCCCCCAGGAATTAAAACAATAGTTTTGTGGATAGAAAAGATTGTAAATAACAGTTGGTGTATATCAAAGCCTTCACACTCCAACCTGGGCCACGGAACACTGCTGGGAAGAGGTACTCCTTGGAAAGGGTAACACCATACATAGGCAGAAGCTTGCAAGGTCTTTAGGCCAGGATGAGGGAGGGGAGTCTGGCCTGCAAAGATAATTGCAAAGCCCAGTGTCAGTAGCCTGTAATCCTAGCTATTCAGAAGGCTGAGATCCGAGGATCACGGTTCAAAGTCAGCCTGGGCAGGAAAGTTTGTGAGACTCTTACTGCCAATAAACCACTAGAAAAACGGAAGTGGCACTGCGGCTCAAGCGCTGGCCTTGAGCTGAAGAGTTTAGAGACAGTGCTCAAGCCAAGAGTTCAAGCCCCATGACCAACCAAAAAGAAAAAAAGAAAAAAAAAGATAATTGCAAAGAGCTTAGGATCATTCCTAAGAATATAATAAAAAGAACCTGGCTGTCTTCAGTTAAAGGCTTGGACTTGTCTCCAGCTTTACTGTTCTGGCAAAATTAACTTTCTCTGTCTTGGTCCAATCTCATTATCCCCTCAGCAGGGAAAAAAAAAGGTACCAAATTACTCTCGGACACTCAGGTCATTCCCATTTAAGCCTCTTGAGCCACAGTGCAGGTACTTCCAGCCTTGTATGTGTTACCAATGACTGAACCCAGGGCTTCATGCGTGCAAGGCGAGCACCCTAGGATTTAAGTACTTGGCCTCAAGTTTGCCAGCTAGACACTCTACCTTGAAGCCACACCCCTAACTGTAGTTTCAATGGTTTATTTGGAAATGGAGTCACAAAACCTTTTACATAGGCTGACTTCAAATCACTATCCTCAGAATCTCAGTCTCCTGAGAAATGAAGATATGGGCCTGAGCCAACCTCTTGCTGGTGGGCTCCTTACATATAATCCTAGCTACTCAGGAGGCTGAGACCTGATGATTGCCCATTCAAAGCCAGTCCAGGCAGAAAAGTCCCCAAGAGACTTTTATCTTCAAATACCTTTCAAAAACCAGAAGTGAGCTATGGCTCAAAATGGTAGAGGGTTTCACGCCTGTAATCCTAGCTACTCAGGAGGCTGAGATCTGAGGATGGCTGCTCAAAGCCAGCGCCCAGGCCCAGAGTTCAAGCCCCATGACCGACCAAAAAAAAAAAAAATAATGGTAGAGTGCTTAAGCAAAAGAGCTGAGGGACAGTGCCCAGACCCTAAGTTCAAGCCCCAGGACTCCTCCCATTAAAGACATGGGCCACCAGTGTTTGTCTGATTTGCTTGTTCAGCTGGTACTCTAGCACTTGAACCATACCTCCAGCCTGTCTACTGGTTGTGTGTGGTGTGTGTGTGTGTGTGAGAGAGAGTGAGAGACAGAAAGAGAGAATGTGTGTGTGTGTGTGTGTGTGTGTGTGTGTGTGTGTGTTTTAGGGCTTCAATTCAGGAGTGTCCTTGAGATATTTTGCTTAGGGCTAGCACTCTGACATTTGAACCACAGCACTTCTGGCTTTTTGGTGTTTAATTGGAGGCTATGAGTCTCAGGGCATTTCTGCTCAGGCTGGTTTGAAACTGTGATCTCAGATCTTAGTCCCTTTGGTAACTATGATTTCACATTTGAGCCACTGGCACCTGGCTTTCTGTCCAGGTAGGTGCACCTGAACTGCAATCTGCCTATTTTAGACTTCCTGTAGTTTGTTTGATGACAGATGTCCCACTGTGTCTTAGGTTCCAGCTTTGAGCCTCATGGACTTTTCTGGTCCAGGCTAGCCTGGAACTATAATCCTCCCAAGTTCAGCCTTATAGTGTAAGAAGACAGGTGCTCACCACTGCACAGTTGTGGGCTGAGAAGGAGTCTCATGAGCTTTAATGCCTGGGCTAGCCTCAAATTGATTTGATCCTCCCAAGTAGCTAAGATTACAGAAGCTAACTATCAGCAGCTGGCCGCCCAAGACAAGAATGACAGCAGTGTTGACATTCTAATCCAGGTAATTTTTTTGTACTGGGGTGACTGCTCTGCTCTTTGTATAGGTGTGGCATCATCCTTGGCCTCTATCCACTGCTATGTGCTGCTAGCAGCAGCAGCATCTCAATTGTGACAACCAAAAATGCTTCTAAGCATTGCCAAATGATCTCAAAGTGACAAAATAATTCCACCATAATTTTGTAGACTGATATGACATTCTAATCAGATATATGTGACCAGAGAACAGGGAAGTAAAACCTTTCCTCCAAAACAGGAGTCAGAAAACTTTTTGTAAAAGATTAATAAGAGTAAAACTTTCAGTTTTGCAAGACAGTTAACAATGGATACTATGTGTATAAGTTCCAATAAAATTTGTAAATAGCTTATTTCACCCCTCAGAAAAATGTGCTATTTGCGCTGAAATTTAACTGCTTCAGAATTTTCTACATCTTATACCCATGTACAGCACAGTTATCTACTTACCCAGTTTTCTTTCATCTTTTTGGCCTTTTGAATTGTCTTGAATCTTTCCTAACACCTCAGTACAACACTTCAATAATAAAATTATTTTTAAAAATGCACTACACTTGCCGGGCGCCAGTGGCTCACGCTTGTAATCCTACTCAGGAGGCTGAGATCTGAGGATCGCGGTTCAAAGCCAGCCCGGGCAGGAGAGACCGTGAGACTCCTATCTCCAATAAACCACCAGAAAACAGGAAGTGGCGCTGTAGCAAGTGGTAGAGCGCTCGCCTTGAGCTGAAGAGCTGAAGGACAGCGCCCAGGCCCAGAGTTCAAGCCCCATGACCGACCAAAAAAAAAAAAAAAGAGAGAATAAGCATTTTTTTTTGTAGGTTGTGGGGCCTGAACTCTGTCCCTCAGCTCTTCATCTCAAGGATAGAGCTCTACCACTTGAGCCACAGCACGGCTTCCAGCTTTTTCTGCTAATGTGATGCTGAGGAATTGAGCCCTCTACCACTGAGCGGACCTGAGAATTAGCACTATTAAAGAACAAGGTAACAAACAATACGTAGCAGTTGATAAAAATGTAGATTCCCCACTGATCCTAATACTGCCAGATTCAGGTGAATCACACTTTTTGAGAGTGGTGCCTGGAAATGTGAATTTAAAAACTTTTCAGATGACATTATACATCACTTCCCAAAGTAAAAAAGTGTGGTTTCATAGTTCAACTTTGATCAGTCAATGTTAAAAGTTAACATGGAAGTACCCAATTCTGATCTTGGCTCACAGCCTGAAAGGTCTGCTTCTGACTCATTACTGTACTCAGGTAACCACCAAATCTTAGCCAAGGTGGCAGCTATTTCTTTTCTTTTTGGGTCCTGTCATGGGGCCTGAACTCTGGGCCTGGGCGCTGTCCCTCAGCTCTTCAGCTCAAGGCTAGCACCACAGCTAGCCACAGCCCACTTCTGGCTTTTTTCTTTTTGCTTATGTGGTGCTGAGGAATCGAACCCAGGGCCTCAAGCATGCAAGGCAAGCGCTCTACCACTGAGCCACCTTCCCAACCCCGGTGGCAGCTGTTTCTAAAACATGTTACT